GCAGACCCAAAATCAAAATTATGTTTAAAAGTCTAACTATGATACGCTATTGAAGACTTGTTAATTTTGCCTTTTCTGACATAAGATTCATGTTCCTTGATACGAAACTTCAACGCTTTTTTTGTTTGGCCAATATATCTTAAACCACATATATTATAAATTCCCCAAGAATTCAAGACAGAAACGCAATCTTTTAGAATCGAAAGGTGAATTTTATTAATAGGGGAGAAACCGACTTGAAAATTGAATTTCTGGAGAATCCGTGCAATTTTATAGCTAACAAAAGGATAAAATGGAAGCATGACAAGGTCATTAATAATGGAAGTACGACAAGGTCATTAATATTATTAATGGAAGCACAACAAGGTCATTAATATTATTAATATTAGTAGCCATTTTTGTAAAAGTTGGCATACTGAAAATTACATAAAAATTAATGAAATTAAAAATATAAGAAGAATCCATAATAAAATACTGAAAATTAAATAAAACAACAAAAAATTAACTAAATTAAAAGTGCTAGAAACATCCATAATAAAACAGGTAACCTTCTTTTTCCTTGGCTCTTTTTAAATGTTTGCATTAACCCGTTGTAACTTAAAAAAAGTCTGAGAAGTGCACAGATTTGGAAAAAGTTACTATCACAATCACGTTAGAACAGTTGACAAGCAGCAGTCATAAAGATAACTATTGAATTTTAAAAGCAGACTTCAGTACTGGTATAATGCACGTGCACTAATTTATGGAATACCAGATAAATATATTTTCATAAAATTCTGGATTGCTTACTTTGGTGACATAGTGCATTTCCTGGTTATTCTTCTCAAGGTTTGATGATCGGTTAATCAGAGAGTACCAAAGAGAGTATTATGGCAGTTTTCTGCTATAAATTTTTAGTAATGTGCAGAATGTGTAAAAATAAGAATTTTTTTTCCCTGTTTAAAACTAAAGCAGCCAGCGTTCTAAGAAATATTGTTTGTTAAATAACAGGCTGAAGTAGAGATGAAGTTTAATACTTTTGCAAGATCTTGATAGAAACTTTTAAATAAATTCTTGCTTTGAGAATGTGATGAAATTTTTTGTACACTCTTAGACAAAAAAAAATGACGCACCAAGACGGAGTTATCCGAATGGGACAAAAATCAGTATAAGTGCTGTGCGTGTACAGAAAAACAAATGATTACAGTTTGAAAAAATTAGATGATTTATTGAAGTGATAGAGCTTCTCAAAGTGAAAAAGTCAGTAATGTGTTGTCCACCTCTGGCCCTTATGCAAGCAGTTATTCGGCTTGGCATCGATTGATAGAGGTTGCAGATGTCCTCCTGACGGATATTGCGCCAAATTCTGTCCAAATGGCGCGTTAGATCGTCAACATCCTGAGCGCATTGGAGTGCCCTGCCGATAATGCTCCAAACGTGCTCAATAGGAGAGAGATCCAGTGACCTTGCTGGCCAAGGTAATGTTCGGCAAGCAGTAGAAACGTGCAGTGTGGGGGTGGGCATTATCTTGCTGAAATGTGAGCCCAGGGTGGTGTGACATGAAGGGCAACACAACAGTCCTTAGATCTTCGTTGACGTACTGCTGTGCTGTAAGGTTGCGACGGATGACAACGAAATGGGTCCTACTATGAAATGAAATGGCACCCCAGACCATCACTCCTGGTTGTCGGCCTGTCTGCCGGAAGACAGTCAGGTTGGTATCACCCTGCTTTCTGGGGTGTCTCCAGACTCGCCTTCGCTGGTCATCAGGGATCGGTTCAACAATCACTGAAGACTATTCTACTCCAGTCAGTGACAATCCAGTGCGAATGAGCCTGACACCACTGCAAATGGGCTTGATGTTGTACACAGATCAATGGCCGTGACCTCAGCTTCCTTTCTGTGAACCGTCTATGAATGGTCCTTGCGGTCACTGAAGCACTACGTACAATTGATGATAATGGTGCGCCTGGGGCTGTGAGTGCCGCTCTGATGATTGCTCGGTCTTCACGGTCTGCCGTTTTTCTAGGCCTACCGCTTTCTTCTTGACGCTGTACACGGCCATGGTTCACCCATTTCTGCCAACATCGTCTAATAGTGGCATCGCTCCTGTTCAAATGTCGAGCTATTTGCCGATAAGACCAACTGGCTTCTTTGAGCCCAACTACACGACCTCTCTCAAATTCTGACATCTGCATATTTCATTCGTGCACCTGTATGCGAGGCATAGTTAATGTCTACCAGAGTACACAGAATGAAATTCGTAAAGAATTTATGACCTGGAATCTTAATTTCTCCTTTTAAATATCCTGTCAGTTGCGCAGATCAGATGTGCTCTAGTGACAACTGTTCATTCGTTGGCAGCCAAAATGTAAAATTTTGCATTTTCTGTCGAAACCTGTATGCATATCAATTTATGTCCAATTTGCTTTATATCTTACTCGGGGCATCTTTTTTTTTTTTTTTTTTTTTTTTTTTTTTTGTTATTGTTGTTTAAGAGTGTATATACACATCCTATGCAAGTCCCAATGTAGCCATTATTTGTGTAACTATTGGTCCTAATGCAGAACTTTATCCCTACAAGTCCTAATGCAGCTTTTATTTGTGTAACTATTGGTCACAGTCTATTCTCTCAGTTATACCAAAAATATTTTAAATAATGCAAAAGTTCATTTCTTGATATTTTTAAATTAAAAAAAGAAATTAATTGTATACAAATTAAATTTAACTTTTTATATGGTCTCTTTTTCCTATAGTTTTATTTAATAAATGTCTATGCTCATTATAGGAAAGAACTCGAACCGCATGATAAAAATTAACTGAGATATTTAATTTCAAAATTTGGGATTTTTGCCTTTTATCTTTCATTTGCCTGTGTCAGCATTGGGATTCATCTGTTTTTTTAAGGAGTCGGTTAAAAAAATTTTAATAATTCAAGGTGAATTCCCCTTAATTAATGTCATTCGGTGATAGTTTTTTGTGATTTTATTTGTGTTTAATAGTCATTAATTTATAATTTTGTTACATCTGGCAATATGAAAGAATTAATCAATCTAGTAGTTTACAAGTTTTCAAATGCTAAAAACATCTTAATGTTCTCATGCAGTTTTTTCCTTTAGCATTAAACTAATAATTAACTAGAAATATTTTTCATTTTTAATTTATGCTAATAATGTTGCAGTTTTTTTTTTTTTTTTTTTTTTTTTTTTTGTACCAATGCCACTATTTTCTACAGTGCGAATTGTAGAAATAAATACATTAAAAAAGTTGATTAGTGCTTTTCATGACTGCTCAACAATGCTCATCACTTAATCTGTTATCCCCAGAGACTTTTTTCTAAGTTGCAGTATCGTTTTTAGATACATACAAATGCAAAACATTTCATTCTTCAATTTGTGTATAACCTCTGAACACGATCTAAAACTTTTGGTTGATTTTTTCATGCAGGAGTTCAGTTTTTTATGTTTTATTGATTAGAAGGAATATTAAATTCCTAATAAAGATAACTCTAGAGACTGGGAAGAGTCAGAATTAGATTTTGTAAATATTTTCCTTATTTTAAACATTTCTGCTATTGAAAGTATATGTTTGAGACCAGTGGTTGCAAACATGAAAACCTCGTAAAGACACTGTATTTATGTATATGTTGCTGTTTAAGTGTATAAGGCTCACCAACGGCCGAGCGGTAAAGTCGCTGAACGCTGGTAGTTCGGTCCGAGGTTCGAATCCCGCGAACGGGCTGGCTGTGTGGGTGTTTTCGTGGTTTTCCCCTTGTGTAACATGTATGAGCCAGTTTCCCTTAGAAAGTCCTCCAGGAAGGCATCCCTCCCCTTAGGCAGATAGCCCTAGTATGCTTTGCCATAGTTAAATACACCATCTTTAAGTGTATAATTCATTTATTTCAAAAAATGGTACATGGTAATTTAATGATAATACATGGTAATTAACAAAATTATACATGGTAATTTAATGAAGTAATTGGTGAATCAGTTAAAGTGTGTAATAAATCAATATTTCCATACATTAGCAAGTTTTTTCACAGAACAACTAGTTATTCTTTAAATTAACTACTAGATAGTTATTCTGTAAATAACTACTAGGCTACTAGTGATACACAGTTAAAGTGTAAAAGAAACAGTTTAACTGAATTAACAATGTAATGTTATTTATATGCTAAAAACCATTTGTAATGACACGGATTATTAAAATGACACTTGGAATTGCATATAATTTCCAAAATATAGTATTGTATAACATCTTATTGCTGGGTTAAAAATTATGGATTGTTTCTGACCAGGGTTTGCTTTCTACAGCCTTTTGAATTCAGAACTTTAATTAAAATTGCCACAGTAGAGTAGCTAATACTAACAAACTAGATGAATTGTGTTGGCTATTTTTCATTTTAATAGAGTGTAAATTGTTATTCTGTGAAATAACTAGTTGAAATGTAGAATTATTAATTTTTTACCCACTTGATCAGATTTTTCATGAGATAACTAGGTATTATATGAAATAGTAGATTTTATATTTATATTTTATGTATTTACTATTATATATTTATGTATACTTACTACACACACTGTATTTTTTTCAATTTTAAGATGGCATTCCATAATGCCAGTCCTGCCAACAGAGAAAGACTTATGAAGACAAAAAAAGCATGAAATAGAGCATTAAAACACATCTAGCAATTATTTTGTCTAGTAGTTATTGACTTTGATTTATTAAGAATATTAGATTCATTTAAATTATTAAGTTGGAGAAATTAATTATTTCTGAATAATTAGTAGTTAGGACAGATCTGTTTTTAAAATGCCATAGATTATAATGTGCACCCCATTATATGCTAAAAATGATGCATCCTAAATTTGAAGAAATACAGTGCATTGTTTGCTCATTCAGGGATCCAGATTTTTTTTTAATAGATTTGACTAGTTGCAAAGTTACAAATATATATTCTTTATTGTCATAAAAACCATCAATTAAAAGTGTATTTTAAAGTTTTGTCATTTATGTTTCAGTTATACAAGCCCTAGTAGCTCTAGTTAATGATCCTGAGCCTGAGCACCCTTTGCGAGCTGATTTAGCTGAAGAGTACAGTAAAGATAGGAAGAAGTTTTTTAAAAATGCTGAAGAATTTACTAAGAAATTTTCAGAAAAGCGGCCTCCAGATTAGGTGATTAAGCAATGATATTTCTCACAAATACCCACCTACTTTCTTATTAGATGCACAGCCAGTCTTTGAATTGCTATGCAAAAATGTCTGGAGTTTTTTTATTGGAAGTATCTACGTAGTCACATTATCATTAGATGCATTGTATTTTATGTTGTATTTCATCCAGTATAGTATTGTTTAGGCTACTTTTCTTTTTCATTTCACTTCTAGGCATGTTATATCTGGATATATAAGTAAACAAAAAATTGCAGGCTATTCAGAATTGTACAGTCTTACATTTTCAGTTTGTGAAACATAATTGAAGCAGTTCATAAAGTATATTTGTTATCGACATGTTCTTTTAACAAGGAGAAATATGAATTTTTACATAATTTTATATTATTTATATAGCAGAGTAATTATTTCCTACAGCATTTTATAGTGAAGCCTTCTCTAATATTGAATTATTCTGTTCAAGAAGCAATATAGTACCCCTATTTTTAATATGTGCTATTTTTTAAATAGCTTCTTTGCACTGTAATTTATTAAACAGTATCTGTGTTCCTTAGCCATTAATATGTTTATTTATAAACGGAATTTTAAAACAACATCTCATGTTCCATGTTATTTGTAACTTAATCATTCTAAATATTTTCTTTTTGTATTTTGTTGCTCGGATTTAAGTGCAAGTTAAACCTGAAAAGCTGAGCTGAGGTGAGGTCTGAGTGATCCATTCTTTACTGGGATTTCAGTTTTACTAAAAACCTGTGGAAAATAGCATTTCTGTGATAAAAGTGGCTTGACCACGTATAAGGTAGTAATTTTATTGTGGGGGAAAAGGGAAAAAATTTGTGGAGAAGTGAAGATAAATAGTAAAAATTTGTAAAAAGTTTACCACTTGACATAGCACTGACCTTTTTTATTAAAAATTTCTACAGCCAAGAATTTTACATTAATATTTTCGATATTCTGTAAAAAGTTTACAGCTTCACACAGCACTGATAATTTCATTAAAAATTTCTACAGCCAAGAATTTATTCTAATATTGTCGATATTCCTTCCAAAATACATTTAGGATGCAAAGCAGTATTAAAATAACTAATATGTTACTAAATGAGCATTATGCTGTGTGTGTTTTTTTAATTGAAACTGTAAATCAAATTTTGAGAATGCAGTCAGTATAAGGTCATGTTTTCCTTATTAATTCATAGAATATTTTTATTTTACATATTATAGAATTTCTTTTGGTAGTTTTTTTTTAACTATAAAAAGGATTGTTTGTCTTCAGAACTGTTTTCCAGTACTGACAGATAGCAGATTATTACTGAACATAGCCTTGAAAAATTGCATTTCTTTGTAATTCAAAAGTCTAGCTAAAATTAAGTTAAAATAGTTCAAAGTTCTGATTTAAATGTTGGATCAGGACTAATTTACTGTGCATATTTTCAATAAATTCTTACAAAATGTTGTCTTAAAGTACCTCTAAGTTCATAAAAAGTAATCATAGGAATTCTTGCTGCTATAAAGTTACTATCATATCATGAATATATATATGTATGTTCACACACAACATAGTGTAGCATTTTAATGCTAAGTTGCATGAAGGTTTCATATTTTACCACTGGATAGATTTTAAACCCACCCAGTTTATTTGATAATTAAGTGGGAGTGTGTTGAAAATTATTTTAAAAGTTCTTACATTGTCTCTTTAAAAATGCAAATAAAATATTAGTAATAAAAATTCAATGGACAGTAGTGCTCAGCTGAAACCTTTACTTTTATATATATTATGTGTGTGCAGGATTCTTGTGAATATTACATAGATTTTACATAATGATATCCCTTGCTCTGTGTAGACAAAAAGGATCTGGAGTTATAATATATATATTTCTATGACCCATAAGTTTCAAGGAAAGACATAAAGGAGAAATTGTGGCACATTGCCTTGTTTGCAGAAAATTAACTTATATTATGAACACCAAAGCTGTTAAAATATTATTTTGCCAATAGTAATACGTGTGAGAATGTTGATGTAGGGTATTGTGTTTATTGAGACTAAGTTTTAAAATATGAGCAAGGTTATTTGCATTTTTGTATTGCAATACATGCAGCTGCTTTGTATCTTACTAGAAAAAAATAGTCTTCGATTTTAATAATTGCATTTTAATGATTAAGTTCTATTTCCAAATTACATTTGCTGCTAGAAAAACATCAGTCTTTTTCTGATTTTAATAATTGCATCCTAATGATTAAGTTTTGTTGACAAATTACATTGGCAAATGATTATATTAAAATACTATTGAATATTTACATTAGTGTTTAAAATAATATTTGATGTGTAGCAGGTGTAATATGCACTTAATAATGGGTGCATTTGTTGCAAGTATATTATGAATGATATTTTACCTGTTATAAAAATGAAGGTACCTGAAACCTGCTAGTTATCAATAGGTGTTGTTTCTAGGTCACTTTTTTGATTCTGTAAAGTAACATTTATTTTCATTGCAACAAATATTGTATCATGATTTTTCTATAATTTTGTTCTCAGACTTTGGGTCACTGTAATATAGTTTTTTTGAACTCCTTCATTCAGAATCCTCATTCATTTAGCTTTCTGTCTTTGTTATTGCTTGTCGCCATATATTAATACAAATAGGAAATGCAGTGTACGTGGTCCCAGTGTCTGTGAAAGTGGTAAATGACCTTGGGGTTTGAACCTGGGATGTAAAAGTCAAATGCCGTTCTGCTGCTGCAAAAGGGCCTATGAAATTGCTTCCAGTATTTGGATTTGTTTCCTGGTGCAAGTGTCTGATGGTCCTCAGGCCGATACACTCGCTTCTCCCAGCACTTTTAATGTTATATGAAGGGATGGGACTGATCATCAGTATTAAGCCCATGCTGTGGGCATGTTTTGTGAACTCCATGCATTGTGGTTTGTTGTGCTGGTGGGCTGTGGCCTCAGTGCATGGGCATACCTGGTTGAGTCCTTTTGTTTCTCTTTTTGACATGGTACTGTATGTGTCTTATCATTCATCATTTGCTCTCAGGTGGGAGGAAATCTGTGTTGTTTTTACATTCATAGTCATAAATGTAACTTGCTTTCTTTGCTATTGTACATGTCACCGTCAGGTTAGCAGAGATAAGAAATGCAGCTCTGTGTGGCCCCATTGCTCTTGAAGGTGGTAAACGTGCTTGGAGCTAAACTTGGCTCTGTTACCTAAAGTTCAAATATCATACTAGCATTGCAAAAGTGCAGATGTGCAATCACACCCATTTCCTGGTATGGGTATCTGACTGGTTCTTGGGAGTGCTGCAAGAGCAAGAAATATCACTATTTGGTTTCCACAATACTAGCAAGATACCCTATATATCTATATGTATGCATATGAATAATGTAGGAATTAAATGTGTCAGTGTTAGACAAATGCTAAAAATTCTTTTTCTTTTAAGAATATTTAATGTAAATTTTTTTTTAATGTGCTGTTTGTGTTGTACAGGTCTCTACATGTGTCTTGAAGTTGAGGAATTAAACTACTACATAATGACTGTAGTTACAAATGAAGCATATATGTATAACTTATGGTTAGCCAAAGAAGCTTACCTTTTACCTGTGCCTTTAGCTCAGGGATTGAGCTTTGTTCTCAGTTTATATATTGTACCTTGCCAACATAAAGACCTATTACTCTGTATATATACATAGCGCACATAAATACTCCAAGTTATTAGAAATCTTGTGACAATTGTAATTAATTGAATCACCTGTCTGAGGAAGAGGACAAACTTATTTCATTTTATTTATTTTTATGTGTAAATGTAACTCAAGTGTTATCTACTAGTTTACTTGAACAGAAAATAAATTAGTTTTTGTCTCTATAATTCACCTTTGTATTGAAATTGGAAAATATTTCTGAAATAAAAATTTATTTTTAAACTTGTAGTACACTTTTTAACATTTTTAGCTCTTTTCAGACTGGTGATTAAGTTAATCCATATTATATTTTGTGTAATTTTTAGAATGTTTTTGTTATGAATTTTAGTTTCAACACCTTAATTGAAGTTTTAAAAGTATATCTGATTTTGATATTAGCCAGTAATCGGTGCAAATTTAGGTTAATTGTGCACAAGTTATCAAGATTAGGCTGTCTGTATGGTTTTATGTAATTTAAATCTGCTTCTGTTAAGTTTTATGAAAGAATTGTGACATAAAAATACTGCTCTTAAACCTGGTAGATGATTTAACTGATTTGTGGGTATGTATGGTGAATGTCAACTTATTGTGCGATGTTCATACTAGTATGGTGTTCAAGTTATGTATACTGCTTGATGTCATGTTGATTTAAAAATGTTAGATTACCTAGGACAGCATTTCTTAAACTATGTTCCACAGAACTCCAAGTCTCTGTGGAGATCATTTAAGAATTCCGTGGACCCTTAGTGAATTTTTGGGTGAACTTCACAGAATTTGAGTGATCTGCATGGATGTCCTCGGAACAGTGTGCATTTTTCTCATAACATTCAAGAAAATAACTTAAAAAGAGAATTAAAAATTAGCCTGCATATTGAATTAAAAAAAAGATAAGTACTAACCCTTTCTTCCATTTAACTAATCTAGATATTGGATGCAAATGCAAGGCCATATCGTAAGTTTTGACAATGGCACCAAGAGTTTTTGGTATTTTATTGAGAAATCACCAGAATGCTGTATTCGTTATTCCCCAGCTCTTTTCTTTATGAATCATTGTACATGGGCTATTCCACAGATCTAGGAATAGAGGAGAATTCCCCGGTTTTGTGAGAGAATATCTTATGCTTAAATATAAAGGGATGCTACAGGTAGCTGGGCATAACAGTCACTTCTCAGTATTTGTTTTCTAAAATACAGATTTATCGAAATTTTTTAAGTTTTTGTTGATAAACTTTATTGATTTTTATAACATTACATCAGATCATACATACTTCTTTATAAGGTTAGAAGTAAAAACGCATCATCTTGGCATCCATAATGTAAATTATAAGGAACTCCAACCAAAATAACAGACAAGTATTTAATTCTGGCAATCACACGCACAAATAAAAGAAGAATCAAAATTGTGGCTGTAATCTGTCATTCATACCTTCAAATTGAAATATAAACCTATCGTGTAATCTGCAGTAGATGTTTGGTGAATCACCATTATTCAGTAAATATCACATTATCCAGAGCAGATGGAGACAGGCTGTAATATTCTGCTTTTAAAGTTTTAAAACCTGGAAATTGTATTAGTAATTTGCGTTTTATATTCCACTGTTAACAGTAAAATCAACGTAAGTAACCATTTAAATTTTATTTGGTCCTAAAAGATGGCTTCTGCTGTATTTTTTGTCTTAAAATTATTTTCTTTATTTTATTACAGGATGGAGAAGTGTCTTAAAAAAAATCTTCATAGTGAGTTTAAAGCTAAAATTATTTTCTCTATTTTATTGCAGGATGGAGAGGTGTTTTAAAAAAGATCTGTTCATAGTGATTTTAAAACGAGAAACAATAAATTCTTCATTCAGAAATGTGACAAACTCAAAATTTAAAATGTTTAGGTTCGTACCACAAAAACAGTGAATGAAAAAGCAATTGAGGCTTCTTACTTCGCTATCACATGCAAAGTAGCCTACTTATTTGTTATTTGGAGTTGGTAAAATGTACAATAGATGAAAAAAAAAAAAAAAAAAAAGCTAAACTCACACTTTCAAATGACAGTTCAGCATATCAGATTTAGCAACAAATGAATATTATTTGAAATATGTCATTTTTGTTGCAAGTAATCCATTTGCAGAATGTTCCGTTAAACCCATATTAATGAAGCAAACATGGAGTTCCATGATAAAAGTGGGCATTAAAAAGGGTTCCAGTTATAAAAAATTAAGAAATGCTGATCTAGGACTTATTTATTTTGAAATAATGATTTAGAATGAAATATTGCCATTGTTATGAAAGAAGGCATACTTGCAACATACTGAAATCTTTATTTTGCTATCATACAAACATAACTTCCAAGACATTTTCAAACATTTTTTTAATATACATATAGAAATACGGAACACATAAAACAGCTGGTATACCAGAGCATGATATTTTAAAAAACGTTTTTAATAAAGTTGAGTCTTGTTAAGGGTTGTGTATTTGCTTCATATATCAGTCATTTCAGCAGGCAGAAAAGTATTAAAAGCAACATAATATTCAAAGTTGATGCAAAGTGATACATTTTTAAAAGACATTGTTTAGAGTATAAAAAGTGTTTTTTCATTTTTAAAATGTAATAATAAATTCTATCATCATCTTTATTTTTATTTATTTATTTTTTGGTACAGATGCATTAGAAAAAGCAATGTTTTATTTACATTCTATTGCTGAACTGATGTTGCTTGTGTCATCCAAGGTGTCTTCAAAAGAATAGATGTGTATGAAATGCTTGCATTATAACAAACTTTTCAGAGCAACTTGAACAAAAAGGTATATTAGATGCGTTTCTGTAATGCAGTATGGTTATATGTATGAAACAAAAAAGGAAAAGTCCTACATCTACATAATATGTAGTATAGTTGTGTAAGGAAATACAGTACTATGATCAGTAATTTATTGAGATTGATATTGTAGAGACCTTAACATTATTCAAAGCTGAGTATATTTCGTGCAAGTATAAAAGTGATGAATATTTGCATGAAATTGAATTTTTAGTACTGATAAGTGCATCTTAAATAATTTCCATTTGAATGTGGAGTTGTATATATGAAATTAGTAAAAAGTAAGAGGGCAGATATAAATCTTTGCAGAAGGAAAAAGGCAATGCTCTCGTTTTGAAAGTATTAAGTAATATTTTGTTAAAATTTACTTTAGTTTTTGGTAATTGCCAATGATTTTAATAAAGTTATTATTTACTGATGCAACCTTTTAATAAAAACATAAGAACTGTTAAAAGTGTAGAATTTTTTTTTTTTTGTGTGTTCCCAGTATTACAGCTAATTTACAAATTATGAAGAAATATTTTTTAAAGCGTTTCCATATGCAAGATGATAAATGCCATTTTAATAATCACTATTGATGGTATTTTTAAATACTTTACATAGAAACTAATATTTTTACTGCAAATAAGGAATCATTTGTTTTGAAATGAAAATACTTTTAATATGTCAGTTGCATTTCTTGATGAATTAATGCTGACTTCCACTTTTAAATGAAATAATGCTCAGTTGCATGTATTGATGAACTTATGCTCATTACCTTTCTTGATGAATTAATGCTCATTTGCATTTCTTAATTATTGCTTGAAATGTCACTAAGTTGTACTTTTCTGTGATTATGTTTAATTATGGTGATTCTGAGAAGATATTGTGATATATCTGGCAGTGCATCTATGTATGTAATTGTAATATATATGTATTGTTGCGAAGGTGGTGGGAACTGTTGAATTTTTATTAGCTGCTTGAAGTGTTATTAAACGTTATATTAAAAATACAGCTTTGTATAGTTTATTTCTTTTAAAATTTCATGTTTTTATTGATATTTTATTTAGAATTATAACTATTATTACATTCAGTGTGTTTCCTGGAAACAGTGTTTCGATAACAAATTATTTCCAATTCGTTTATATATTGCATGATAAAAATCATAGTAATATCAAAAGCGGAGAATGTTGACAGTTTGTTTTTAAATGTGGTTTATAAAACTGTTCTAGCCTAGAGTCATTTTACAGTGAGAAGTCATCTTTCAGGAACTCGGATGTTGAGACATTATCAACTTTCCTGACTTCTTCAAGTAACGGCTTAGAAGTTAGATTATTTTGAACCTGAGGGCCAGTCTTCATGCTGGTTCTTGAAGACATTAAAATGCTTCACCCACAGCATCACCTTTACTTTGTTTACCAAGGAGTTACTTTTAAGGGCAACCTCTTGAAAAACTCGTATGGTTCCAGACACATTCCATCACATATCGAGACTTTAAGAAATCAATCAACAAAAAGATATTTCTCGAGCAGTTCATCTGTTTTAATTCTTGTAAGACCAACGACCGCCACACATTATTGAATATGCTTTTCACATTCAAAGATACAATAGTAGCATCTTTCTTATTACGTTAAGTCTCTGAAATAATATTATATATAGCATGGTTAGTACAGTAGAGTTTCGCAAACTCGACATAATGTGGACTGAGAGACTGTCGAGTTTTACGTAATAAGGGATGGGTTTTTCAGACCTCTTTTAATGTATAACTCTTTTTATATTTAACTATAAAAAATTACTCTAGACATTTCTTGCACAATATTGGGCAGGGCAAAGTGCAGCATACAATTAAACTAATATTTATTTTTTATGTCAAGTTCTAGCACAATAAGAGTTATAAAAAAAAAAAACAAATACCCTAAGATAATGGAGTAAGAAGCTTACCTACAAAAATTAAGAAAAATATCTTGTGATGGTAGTTTGTCTCTCGCACTCATTCCGTCGTCGTGCAGCTTCATCCCGTAGGCGACGGAGGAACAAAATGTCCATACCAGATGCATCTTGCTTCTCCATGTAATGGAGCATTTCTTCTGCGGCCTTCAGTCCTTCACTATGGCTCATCATTTTAGTTTTTCCATTGTCTTCAGTCTGTTCATTTTCTGATTTGTCATTTTTATCCACATTGTCTTTCACCAGTGCAACTATTTTTGCATGTCCTAAATCAGAATTTTTGTCTTGTCCCATCCATTCTTTAACATCACCATCAGTAACTTCTGCGCAGCATGGAATTTTCTGTAGTAAGTTAACTGTTTCACAATTTTCTGTCTCTTCTTTGCTTTCGGGAAATTTGATTCATGAATGGTCCAGCAACTTTCTCGAGGAACAAACAGGCTTAGCTGCTCAATTTCACTCCCAGAATGAGCTATCCATCCAACATATCTATTTTCTTCTGTTTCTCTATCATATCACATCCTTCTTCCATGGCTAGGACAAGAGATGAAAGAAGCTTACATCTATATTTTTTCTTCAATGCCTTCCAAACGCCCTGGTTCATCGGCTGACACACTGAAATTACGTTAAGAGG